CAGCGTGTCGCCCCCAGAGGCGCCCGGGGGGGGCGGCAGCCCCGCCGGTCATGGCTGGCAGCACCCTCCTGCACCGCACCACAGCTTGTGCCCAAGCAGCCCAGAGCTGAGGCCACAACGGTGCCCTGCGTTGAGCACCGCCTGCCTCTGCCATGCTGCCGGGATGTGCCGGACCTGGCACGGGTGCAGGACGGACCCGCGGTGGTCACTTGCAGTGCTGGAGCTGGGCAGGCAGGCCCCGGGGGGACCCCACACCCTGAGCCGTCGGACCTCCTCCTTGGCTGGGAGCACTGGGCCAGGGGGACAGGGGATGTGCGGGGCAACTGTCCCTGCTCCAGAAGCACGGTCCCACTTTTCCTTCCCACGCTGGAGGGCTCCCCCGAGCACCAGCCCCCCGGGACGCAGGGGGTGACCGCCTGCCCCAAACCGAGCAGCCTGCAGAGCTGCCAGCCCAGGGCGGATGGCATGGCGGAGCTGTTGGCCCCCCCCCACAGAGCACCCTCACCTTATCAGGCTGCTTTCCCTTCTCCAGGAGAGGCGCCAGAAACCCTTGGAATTACACCTGACCAGAGTCCAGCTGACCCCCCCCAGCGCTGGCTGCTGCCCCCGAGGGGGAAGCTCACCCCCACGTGAGCACCCACACTGGGGCCTGACTTGTCCAACCTAGCTGCCAGGCTGAGCACAGCAAACAGCCCTGAGGACGTTCCAGGAAGGTCAGGACAGAACATCACGTGCATCCTCCATCCAAACGATGCTTGAGTGAGCCCTTTCCCCAATATGCCAGAAATCGAGTTTCATAGGATCACGGACTCACAGCACGGTTTGGGTTGGAAGGGACCCTCAGCGATCATCCAGTCCAACCCCCTGCTGCCACGAGCAGGGACATCTCCCACTAGATCATGCTGCCACAACATAAAAGCCTTTGGACTGCTCTTCGGGGTTGTGGAAGGCTTTGTTTGGAGGTAGTTTTGCTTGCAATTACAAAAGGGATGCAATGCCCTCGTCTTGTTCTTGGGAGCGGTTGGGCTGTTTATAAAGGCAGAGAAAATCCCACCCTGCAGCTGGGAGCTTCATTCTGACTGACGGCACTTGCACAACGTGAAGAACTGCCAGCAGCGGGACATGGGACTCGGCTGTGCCCACCGAGCGGGGCCGGAGCAGCAGCTCTGCCAGTGCCGGCTGCCCTATGCCGCTCTGAGCTCCTCACCCTCCATGGCTGTCGGCAGCAGCCATTCCCCACAGCGTGCTCCTGTCCCGTCCGCTGAACCAGGCAGGAAGGGCTGGCAAGGGGGTGTCGTGGGTCGCCCTTGGTGGGAGTGAAGCTCAGTCACCCTAAAACATGTAACGGTGGCTGGAAATGAGCTATGGACCCATCCCGGAGCTGGGGAAGGTGGGGAGGATGATTAAGCCAAGGGGACGTTGGCATTACGCAGCTCCGTAGACCCGTGAGCGCACAGATGGCAGAGCTCAGCCCTCGCCTGCAGCTATGAGCTCACACGGGGGACAGACGGGGGTCAGGCTGCTTGTTCTCTTGCTGCAAAGCAGCAGCTTCTCAGGACTTTAGGGGTACTCATATCACAGAATCGTGGACTTGCAGAGTGGTTTGGGTTGGAAGGGACCTTCAAAGATGATCCAGTCCAACCCCCTGCCACGGGCACGGACATCTCCCACTCCATCAGGTTGCTCAAAGCCCCGTCCAGCCCGGCCTTGAACACTTGCAGGGATGGGGCAGCCACAGCTTCTCTGGGCAACCTGGGCCAGCGCCTCACCGCCCTCCCGGTCCAACATTGCTTCCTTATGGCCAGCCTGAGCCCGGCCTCGCTCAGCCCCCGTGTCCTGTCACTGCAGGCCCTGCTCAAGAGTCTCCCTCTCTCCTCTCAGCCCCGTTTCAGCACTGAGCGGCCGCAGTGAGGTCTCCCCGCAGCCGTCTCTTCTCCCGGCTGCGCAGCCCCAACGCTCTCAGCCTTTCTCCCCGGCAGAGGTGTCCCAGGCCTGGGAGCATTTTGGTGGCCTCCTCTGGAGCCGCTGTAGCAGGGGCCTGTCTGTGTTGTGCTGGGGAGCCCAGAGCTGGAGGCGGTGCTGCAGGGGGGTGTCAGGAGAGCGGAGCAGCGGGGGAGCATCCCCTGCCTCGAGCTGCTGGCCACGCTGCTGCTGCTGCAGCCCGGGAGACGCTTGGCTTTCTGGGCTGCAAGCGCACATTGCCGGCTGATGTCCCATTTGTCACCCACCAGTGTCCGTTCCCCAGTCATTCTTCGCAGGGCTGAAAGCCTCCCGTTCCAGAGGAGGCAAATCTGGTGTACTATCTCAAGCAAAGCCAAATCCGATACTGCGTCAAGCAAGAAATGCTTGTGCACTTCTTCAACCATGCAGCAGAAGCAACAGCACGTGGCTGATGGGCCACATCCCATGCACCCGTCCTGGGCACTCAGCACCACTCCTGCATGCAACAGGGACCTGCAAGGTGGGACCAGCCGATGGTACTGCTGCAGGGGGAAGAAGGGTGCGCTACCCAACCTCACCCCACGGACTGCTCGTGCAGCCCAACCCGGGGAGCAGGGGGCAACAGGAGAAATGGAGAAATGGTGGAAGGTGAAAGGAGAGGAGGCGATGGAAAAGGGAAAGGAAAAGAGGATACTCAGAAAGGATCAGAAAGAAGATACAGAGAGACTGACATGATGAAGAAACTCCGAATGAGTGTTCCTCCTGGGACTTCCAGGGCCACCAGCATGGCCTGAGCTCACCCTTAGAGCGTTACAGCTCACAGAGAGCTGAAGCGAAGGGCTGTGCCCAGCCCTGCCAAGCGGAGCAGCTCGCAAAGCCTCTGCGCAAGGGGGGGACCGGTGCAACGCAGCATCTCTGCAGGCTCAGACGTGCCTGGTGCACGCTGCTGCTCAGCCACTCCGACCACGTGTTGGTACACCCAGAGTAGCCCCAGCCAACACACCCCAACCTCCAGGAGACGGCAGTGGAGACATCTTGAACATACACTTGTACTTGCTTTGCAGCTATTCTAAGCAAGCAGCAGCTCGGTATTTATGGCAGAGTCTCCGACTCAGCTCATCTTATTCCTCCTCTGCTGGCAAACCTCACACGAAAGCCCCCCAGCAGCTTCAGCTTCAGCCTCTGCTCGAGAGGTGCCTGGCCCAAAGCAAGGTCAAAACAGCTCCTGAGCACCATGGCTTGAAATCCAGCAAAGACGTGATGTGCCATCCGAGCGCCTCTCCTTCTGCCTTTTCAAAATTGTTTTCCTAAAATCCCGTTCATTCTCATTCAGCTGAAAAGTATCAACATATGTTGATCTGCAGCCAAATATAGCCTGGGTGTTGAATGACGCCCCTTTCTGCTCATCAGTACACCACGCCATACCTCTTTGACTTAAGAAGTTATTTAACTTGGTGTTTATTTTGTCAGATTGTTATTTTATGTTCCCACGGGCATCCCACATGTCTACAAAATGCATTTGATTTTTGAAGCAACTCAGAGTTTCATGCAAAATGGGCTGGGAAAAAGCATTTTAAATGGCTTTCAGTCAGCAAATAAAACTACCTGAATATTCAGAGTAAATAAAAAGCATGTCAAAAGGTACCTTGCATTTGAAAGAAACTCATTAAACAGAAAATATTAACTGAAGATAGGAAATGGGGTTGTTTCACCCGGGGCCAGCAACTCTTCGCGCCCCAAATGTGGGGAAAGCAGCCCAACTTGCTGAACCACCAAGCTGGATTTCCAAATTGCTCGTACAGCTCTGGGTACCCACAGGGGGCTTTGAAACCCCGACAAAGCACACACTGAAACCTGGGACCTTGGCCTCCGATGTTTTTAATTAAGAGAAAGACACTTCTGAAGTGCTCGTCCCAGGGCGGGGAGCCCGGGCGGGATGCCAGCCTTCCTCCTGCGCCCGTCGGGGTTACAGGGGGAGCAGAGATCCCACTCCCGACTTCCCACCGCCTGGCTTTGTCTCAGTGTTTGAATTAGTCCAAGCGAGGTGGGTATTTCCACTGCACCGGCTAGGTAAACCAAGCCCAAAAGCAACTAGAACAAAAGCGATTCAGAATAACAAGGACTGAAAGTACTGACATTTGGAAGAACGTAAATAGCAGCTTTTCTTCTGGTATGAACTCCAAATTTGATACTTATAGAAACACGGAAAACACTGTCGAGACGTCTGGGAACTTGCATCACTGGCAACGTTTCTGGGCTGGGGACGCCCCTGGGAGCTGCCACCCCAAAGCCCCCGTATCCTTCTGCCGCGGGTGAGCTGACCGAGGCCGAGGGCTTTATTTGAACTGCTGCGAAATGGGGACAAACAGAGTGGTTTTAATGTAATGAA